AGCAATGACTTGGTGCAGTTTCAGCCTGGAGAGGCTGTTGTGACCCCTTGCAGGGAGGGGCAATCTTGCCACTGCACAACCTGCCATGAAAGCTCCAGTCCCAGCCACTTGAGCCAGCAGAACTGAGTGTCGTGGTGATTTTCTGATAGCAGAGTGGTGTTAAGGGCCATGGACAAGATCCTCTTTACCTGAGGAGTAGCTACTACAAGTCAAGGCTAGGAAGGATGATGGGATACAGACTTTCCTTGACACTAGGTGAGGTGGCTGAAGCCAGAACTATCCCTATCTTCACCACAGCTTTTTTGCATAGCCAACCTAACAGGACTTGCCACCTCTGCTCAAGTATTTACTGGCCTTGTCCAGTCTTTCAGGCTGACACTCCTTGCAGCTTATTTAAATACACTTATTTAAAGAGTGGCTGGTCACAGGAATAGATTTGTTGCAGATGTCTATTTAGTCTGCCTGAACAAAGCCTGAAACAAAAAGGTGAATTTGGATAAATCACATTCAGGGCTGCAACTGCCTCTTGCCACTTTTCTCCTTGGTTCTTCCCTGCAGACTGTGCAATTGCTGCTGTGCATTCCTCAGCACAGGTCTAGGGCTCCCCCCTCTTCATGTTCCACTTAGAGACTGTCACAAGCTGGTACCGGGACTAACACATCCCAGTCTGTGGCTACCAAAAATCCCAGCCTCTCTCATTTACCTGTCATGGGCTCCTTCTCATCCACCTTTCCTATGACTCAAGGCTCTGGAAGCAAGGCAGGAGCACTCAACCTGTGGTGGGACCACTGGGCTGGGTCAGGAAGCCTGCTACCATTTTCCAGCAGTCTCTTTGCATCCCACATAGTTTGGGTACCCTGCCAATTAGTGAAGGAATCTGTTTGTCACTTTGGCAGGATGCATTACTGTCCTAAAGACTGACACCAGGATAGAGTCACTGTCCTGAGGCTCTAGTAATAGATTTCAGGAAATGCTTTCCTTTCATCTGTCAAAAAAAATAATTAATCAAATAACTATGTGGGTAATCCAGACCTCCTCAGATTATAAAGCTAAACTTGGCATCTAATGAAGAAAATATGCAATCAGCTGAGTCACTGTACATAAAGACATATTGTAGAAGATGCCTCACAATGCATCTAACTACTTTTACCTCTAACTAAATAAATTTCACAAGTTAGTCATTATACTGCCGAAAAGAAAAGTAATGCATTTCAAGTGTAAAAAACCAAACCTTTGCAACTAGGTGTTCCTTGCAAGTCAAATACGATGGATTGTGTTGAACTGCTGGTTCCAAGAGAACACTGCAGTGCATCTGTACTGCTCCTCACCCTTCCTCCCATTTAGTTGACCATGACTATTCAGTAAGCAAATTAAAGGCTTCCACTCTCCTATTTCATTGTAAATCAAAAGACATCCTGTGCTCTGCCATGGGGTCCAATCTGACACCTTCCACATCACCCACTTCAGAGAGAGTTTCTGAAGATGACATGATAGCCTCCTTTGCAGAACACTTCTCGGGACGTGAAAAGGTTTCACTTGACAAGAGCTACAGTTATCACCCTCCCCTATTAGTACTTCCAAAATCCTCATCAAAGATGCTCAGTGTCCATGTGCAGGTGAGAAAGGACATGGACATGCATAGACCAGGGAGAGCACATTGAAACTTGGTGGATCTTGGGCTGTGGGGTGCTGCAGACCACCCCAAAGGCAAGGTGCCCTCAGGAGCAGCATGACATTTGTGGCTGGCAGAGGCACAGGGCTGAGGACAGAGGGCAACTGAGCTGGTCTGACAGGGGCAGTCCAAGATGTATATATATATACAAACACGTATATACATAAATACATATAAAAATAAATAGCTGCTTTACTGCCCTTACTTATACCTCATCTATAAAGCTTCCCATGGGCTATGTCAAAAACCCCAGCCTATTCTCTCATCTGTATTTGCCTTTGACTTCAGCTCAGTCCCTGAGGCTGCCCTGGCCACAGTCCTGTGCACTCTCCCACGTTCCCATCGGCCCATTTGAAAGGAGGGCATTGATGTGTCTCCATAATGCAGCCATTACCAGCATGATACCGAGACTGATCAATCAAAGGCAACACAACAGCCAGATTCAGAGGATTCCAAAATTGAGGTCAGACTCAATAATTCTTTGACAGACGCCAAGAGAGACACACACACATATAGACAGGAAGGCATATTTTAACTGTGCAAACCTAAAAATGTCACATGCAGTGACAGATTGGATGTGTTTTGGCAAGAACTGTTATGTCCTTCTCCATTACCACCCCTTGCCTCTGCATCAGTGTTGGCGTAAGGTGCCTTTGACCTGCTGGCCTGACTCTAACCTTCCCCTGAAAGCACATCCCTTGGATTTAACAGCTCAAGCCCTGCAAATGGGTGCCCTGCTGCCTCGCTCTGCCCTGAAGGGACCATTGGTTGGCTGCAGAATACCTCCTCTCCCTAGGAGAGGACCATCTCATGACTAAATCCCAGCTCCTGAGTCACTCAGATGTCAGAGAGCTACCTGAGATGGAACACCTCAGAACATACCTAAGCTCTCAGCAGCAAGGATGGGGTGATGAGCCTAGGAAATGCCCAGTTTATACCAGTGCTCTGCTGCAGATGAGCTGGTTGTTGCAGTACTGGGGATTTATGGACTCCAAGATGAAGGCTGAGAAACCAGAGATTTTCTTAGGTTCTGGTGCTGAACTTGCACTGAGGAGAATAAAATCCCTGTAAATCCACTCAACCTCACAGTTTGGCTTAATTATCTCTGTTAACCTTGGCTTCCTGAGCATTTTCTCCTCAGCTTATTGAAGTTGGTAAAGCTACCACAAATTAATAACTCCCATTATACCCTACCTGATACAACACTCCACTGCAGCTACAATTTACAAGCCAACACCGCAAAATGACTGAACTTTGTGGTGAATAGCAATCTTCACTTCAAGATCATACTCTGCATCAAACACCAAAAATCCATCTCTAAAATTCCTGCTTCACAACACATTAAGCACATCCAGCTAGAAAATACTAGTGTAAAAGAGCAACACACCCCCCAGTTCCTTTCTATTGTAACAGTAAGTTATCAACAGGTTTCTCCTTCAAAATGAGAAAACTTATAAAAAATATGCTAATCAAGTATCCTAAGATAGTTTACATTGCATTAATTAAATACAAGCTTAGCCAGTGTATGAGCACACAGTGTAGCTGTTTCCAGAGAGCTCAGAATTCATGGATGAAGGCCAGCAGTTTTAGGGACTTTTCTGCTGTTCAAGGACAAACAAAGATGCCACGAGGAAAGCTATAAGACTCCCAAACAAAAACTGTGTGTATCAACAGTAAGTCCCCACATCAGAGATCTTGCAGTCTAAGTGGACAGTGAGAAAGGGTCACAAAGTGGTGATTGAAGCAAACTTCTGCCAGATCAAGCAGCCTTGTTCCCTTGGAAAGTGTGCCCCCCCAGTCCTGCTGCCTCCCCTAGACTATACAGCCTCATTTTTTCGATTGTTGTTCTGTTTAACCCCTTAACTCAAAAGAAACATGAAGAAACACTACTATACTGCCCACTGATGGGCAGTAGTGGATTCCCACCTCCTCTCATGCAGTAGCTGCAAAGTCCTTGACTAAATGTTCACACCTCTCTCAAACACTACAAACTGCTCAGAACCTGAGCTGCAGAGAGCCTGAGAAGAGCATTTCGTTCCTCTTCATCCTCTAAAGTTATTCCCACACACTCCAAGTGTACGGGTGGGACTTGTCCAAGATGGCATGAAAAAATCTGTGGTAACAACAAGGAACGGTCTCAATCTTCCCACAGCCCATGACAACCCCTAAGAACTGCAGTATCTTACCTCTGATTTGCTCCCGCTTATTTGCTGGCTAAGCATAGCACAAAGTTGGGTTACAGCAAAGAGACAAGATGGTGTTATCATGCCCTCAAACAATCACCAACAGTGTATGCACCTGAATGCTTACAAAGGATTTTTTTGCCTTTGGCTCTCATGTTTAGACTAGATCCACAAGAAGAGACTCGAAAACTAAACCCATTTACTTTTAGCAGAGAGCTCCATTTCCAACACAATTGCTTATAAAATGACTGTAGGGTCCAGGAGCATTAAAATTATTCAGCTGTTGAGAAATTATGGATGGCATCTCCAAATGCTGTCAAGAGCAAACATTGCTGGGAAGATCCCTTTATCATGCATGGATGGATGCATCAAGGGCAGTTGTGTCTGTATAAGAGAGATTGCTCTTGCACTGTGCATTTGGGGTTTAAGGTGGGAACTCTGCACAGAGAGAATGAGCATTTATTTCTAAAACAGGAAACTTGCTTTGCATATTTCATTTTGACACAGTCACACTTTTTTTTTTCCTCCCCCAAATAACAAGCTGAATCCTAAAAATCCTAACGTAGTTCACAAATAGTTCCAGTAAGTATCCAGCAAAATATGCCTGTGCAACAGTGAATAAATGCTGATGGTGAATTGTGGTATTCCCGGTCACACTGAGCAACACATCATTCTGCAAATAGTGGGTGGTTTCAAGGTGTTGCTACTCATGAGCTATAACAGGGAACCCACACAAAGGCATGGAAGAGCAACACGAGCTATCCATGCACAACAGCTGATTGGTTTCCTTCTCCCTTCCAGCCCAGAGAAGCTGAGCAGCTGCTCTACATGAGCCTGTTCTCTCATCTCCCAAGAGGTGACCCTGGCCCACCTACCAAGACATGTTAAGCACTGTCATGCCTTTCCTGAAGTCTTCTAAGAGCACTGCCAAGGTATCTGGGTAAAGATGCAAGCTGTACAAGCCCAGATGAAGATGCAACCCTCACTGTGATGAGCTAGAGTCCTCCTAAGTCATACGCTCCCTCACCTTAGCTCCCCCGTGCTCCAAGGCATGCTTGGCTCCAGCTAACAGTTCCCCTTGGAGAAACATCATCCAGTGTTCTGCAGAGCCCTGTGTTTTGTGGCAGGGCACTGAGGTTCATTACCTGCAGTCTCTCTGTCCCCCGCTGACAGCTCTCCGTTGATCCCATTCTCTTTGGTCCGCGTGTACGTCCCTGGCTGCTCACAGCTGCCCAGCACCGGCTCCTCATCCTCTTGGTAGGAAAATCCATTGGCACTTCTGACCATTCCGGCACCTGCCCCACCCTGCTCCTTGATTTCAGGTGAATGTGGGTGTGAAGAAGCCTCTGTTAGTTGACCTGCAGTCCAGTGAGGTGCCTTGGCTTCGTCTTTCCTATCCTCCGCCATGGTTCCTTGCCTTCACCACTTGGCCTGTAACGACATGAGCAGGACAGATGAGCTCTGAGCTGGTGACTGTGTCCCTAGCTGGCAGGCAGTGGCAGAACTGCCAGGGAAACTCCTGTCCAGCAGATGAGAGGGTTTTAATGCACAAGTGTGTCTGCTTGTCTGTCCTGCGCCTGAGAGAACTGCTTTAAAACCAAAACAAACCACAAAAATTATGGGTCAAGTCCTCCCTAACTCCCACATGCCTTGAATTTTTACTAGCAGCAGTTTCTTGAGGGCCGCCCTTTCCTTAATCTAATTGTAACTCATTAATTACAGTAAAATGTCAACCCACTAGAAGAGAAGAGTCATCATAACAGAATGACACCTTCCCAGGGTGATAAAGGGAAGAATGCCACCACTGCTAAAAGAAGTGAAGCTGCTGTTGCAATCTTCATTGCACTTGCAAAAAATGGCTGCCCTTCTGCAGGGTGATGTGTCCTCTGCTGCTTGCCACAACAGGAACCATCTCTGAGAACATTCACTGCATTCCTGAGCATGTGTGCTACTTCATCCTGTTTATATCCCCTCTTGCTGTTTTGTGAACATTCATCCCCTTTTGTCCAAAACAGCCCATAGGCAACAACTGTTTCCCACACAAGCATTTGCATTCTCTTATGACTATCAATATTTATACATAAATAAAACTAATTATTATTTGCTACATCGCATGTACTTCACTCCTGTTAATTAGCTCTCATGTGTCCAAGCCAGGAAAACAAGTCACTGCACAAACCATAGGCTTTGGCTACTCCTCACAGAAAAAAAAGTAGTAATAGCTCCTCAACATGTAAGCCCAGGAAGACAACATATCATAATCCATGTTTCCATGATCAGGTAACCTCTGGGGCAAAGAGAAAGGCTTGACCTGAGCTAGCTGTTTCAAAGTGAAAACCAGCAGGCCTTTTCCAAAGGCCCTTGCCAACTTTTTTTCATCTGGGAGAAAAAAACAAACACACACCTAAAAGAAACCAGCTGAATGCAGTCAACCAGTCACGTATCAGAAAGGCAGTCAAAGGAAAGAAGGCACAAAACTAGACAGTGCATATGTTCCACAGGCGTTTAACAAAAACTGAACCAACACACCAGAAAAAAACCCCTCATTTCCACAAAGTCAGGTTATTTTGCAGAAAACATGAGAACAAGCTATTGTTATTTGTCAGGTAATCATTCACAATTCCTGATATTATCATTTAATAATAATGGCTTTCAGAGGTACTTTACATTAAAAAATCAAGGTGAATCATGACAGTTACATTTAATTTGCAATAAATATGTGACTCAAACTGCAGTTCTCCCTCAAAAAGGACTAATAACTCTTCTGCCTCCAGGTGAAATGAAAGTGTTTTGGGCAGTGCAGCTCTGCTCTCACCCTGACCAAGTACCATTCCCTGGGGACAATTAATTGCATAAAGATTGCAGGAGCAGGTGGAACTTCAAGCCCAGCATTTTCTCTGTGTTATAATCAACATGGTGGGCTGAGCAGTGCTACAAAGCATGGTGGCAATGAGACATGCCTCTGTCACCAGAGAGACAGCAACCATGCTCCAAATCCTCCTCGTTTGCACTGATGGGAGACTCACCAGTGCGCTACTCCGCATACATATCAAGAGCCTTAGTGCAGCCATCTCAAAGCACACTACAGCTGATGCGGTAATTACAGAGGAGAGAGCCCGAGCTGGGCAAAGAACATCTCCTATGTATCAAACAGGTAACTTGCTGCCTCTAGATCTGTTTCCTGCATGACATTAGAAAACATTTTCTGGTCAGAACCTTTCCAAAACATGAGGCCACAAGACAAACACCTTCCTCCATACTGGAGTGAGTAGCACACATTCAGAGCCACCCACATTTGAGGGCTAAGGACAGAACAGGGTCTGTTTTGGGCAAAAAGGAGACATTCTCATCAATGCTCCTTAAAAAGAAACAAAAATAGTAAAAAAGAAAACCCTACCCCAAGGCCTTCCCCACCAATCCAGTATGCTTTGAACCTGACAGTAACCCCCAGGAGCAGTAAGAACCTGCCTGTGAGCTCCAGCAGCTCAGCCCCTGGGTCACCCACGAGAGGAGCCCAGAACCTCAGCAGGGACATGGAGGGTTTTGCAAGACCAAGCATGGGGAATAATGCGGTTCTGAAAATCACGGGGGTGGACGTAAGGATTATTACCCCACCACTGCAGTTTGGAAGCTATTATCCCTGAAGTGCCCTTCCCTGTTCCAAGCAGACACTCCCTGCTTCACTTGAAGCTCTTGAGGAAGGATATTCACATCCTTACAATGGACTGTGTCACAGAAGTCCTCTGTGTAAGTAACAGAAGTGCTTTTATCTTTAAAAATAAATGCAGTGGGCAGGCTTCAATGAGAGCTGTGTGTATCTGGAGGCAGTATTTGGCTCAGTATTTATAATAGATAGTTACAGAGTGAAACATGGATGAATTCGTTCTTCACTCTGTTATTCATCAAGTGCTCTCAGAGTTTATAACGGTAGTAGAAACACAGTGAGTGAGTCACACAATCCATCTCTGTACTCAGCAATTTAGCAATGACTATCTGCTGTATGGTGTGATTCATCCACAGCACAGGTTCCAAACCAGAGTACACAGGTGTGTTTTTTACCATCAGGTTAGTTGTTTTTCACATTTCATTAGCATACAATGGAATTAAATTACACAGGGAATTAAAATATTGACACAGAAATACCAAGAGTGTACAAACATTATAGCAGAATTTAAATAGTGGTAAGTATATAAAAAGAAGAAATGTGGAATAGTTTGGACAATCTAGGAAAACACAGTACTTCAGGCAAGCAAAAAGTTGCTCTGTCCACTATGATTTTCTTATTCTTTGCATAAACTGCAGTGAAGGCTTTCAAAACTTATCAGAAAAGAAGGCACAGCCAGTCCTCTCAAATGTCATGTTGCTTAGTTAAAAATTAATTTGGATATTTAGGAACCTCTTTTCCCTGTCCATTATAACAGAACCTCAGTATCACAGAATTTGCAGCAGCAATTCTTACTCGTACATTCTGTTTTTCTTGTCCATCAGTTGAAGTTAGTGGTGGTAAAAAGGTGCCCAAGGCTGGTGCTGGCCCACAGCATCCATAGGTGAGCAGGAGGACACAGGAAGGGTGATGGAGCTCATGGGCTGGACCAGGTTCGGTGGCACTGACATCCCAAGATGGCCCCTTGCTCCAAAGCTGTCATCCTGGTGACAGCACACCAGTATGTCCAGGGGCATGAGCCTAGCCTCAGCACAGGCTGTGCCAGCCATGTGGCATGGGATTGTGGAAACACTGGTCCTGCATTATGCTCCCTATCTTGAAGCCTGATCAAAGCCAGCTGAGCAAAGTGAGGAATGGGAGAGGGGATGGGAAATGCCCCTTCCTGCTGGAGGGATTAGGAAGGTGCAGTCCTGCACCACAGAGCACATCAGTGATACTGACAACAGGTCTCCTGCAGCCTATGCACAGCCCTCCCCAAAAAAGCTTTCCCTGTCCAGGCTGACATGCAGGATGGTACAGAGATCTTGGCCATTCCCGATTGAAGAGATCGCGCTCCACCAGCAGCCACCACCAGCAGCAGCAGCAAAGGGACACTTTGCAGACCTTAAATCCATGTCCTTGTAACTCAGGAATGGCATTATGGATCCAAACTGGAAATCCTGTCTTCTAAACTAAAAACTTGTTGCAGAAATGATGGTAAAAACAAATTCCCTCACTCTTTTCAGCCATTTTGAAACTATACAGAGACCAAAAATACCTACATAACTCAGAACTGACACAAAGGGACAAACCTCATGGGGAACCTGTGGTCCAACTTCGCACTGACCTCCTCCTTTCACAGGCACAGTACAAATGTTTCTTAATCCATATACACTTTTCTGTTATACCAGCTTTTATTGCCATGGCTGGGTGCTGTGACCTCAACACACACCAAATGACCCCAGTAATACTGTTTGAGCATGACGTGCAAAGCCTGAGATAAGACTGAATTAAACATCCTGTCGTGCTAGCTGTCCTTCCTGAGTACATCTCACAGAATCGTCTTAGCATTCTATTATCATTGCCTTTGCATGTAAGCAGATGAGTTTTCTATGAATTTAACTTTTTAAGAGAACAGAATTAGGCCAATACTGGAGGATTTTGCAAATACCCTGCCTTCTGCTTCATGCCATTTTTTTACGTACTCCTGTGGCTATGAGCCCATTCCCAGTGAAATGAGGCTACATGATTTCAGGGAAGCTAATTCATTAACACAAAGAAACAGCCACCTAGATACACAGAGGAAGAGATACAATTCCAGCTCAGAGGAGTGAACAACACCAGAGGTTCCTAAAAGGATAGGCAACAGACTCTTCCAAACTGAAAAGCAAACTCTGGCAGGGGGCATGGTCAGATCCTGAGCTCAGTGGGAGGGAAAGGGGAGGAGTGGAGAAGTGCTCCCAGTATGGCTCCAGGGCCAAATCCTGCTTCCCAACGGGCTAGTTTGGCTCAGATGCAGACTCAGCTACCCTGCTCCCAAGTCCAGAGCCAGGAGAGGGTGGAATTGCTCCGTGGAGGAAACCTGGTGTGCAGAGGCATGGCTAGCATGACCTCTGGTGCCCAGGGCTTCCAAAACTCCCAAATGAGACTGCCTAGTAGAGAACTGTTTATGAAATTTAAGAAATTCAGGTAATTTCTTTCAGAGAAAGTAAATTTATGAGGTGAGGTACTCATAAATTTTTGAAGACGGCAAGAAGACGCAGAGATGAAGAAAATGAAGATGTCTCTAAAATTAGTTACATTAAAAAAAAACAAAACCCAAACAAAAAGCAAACAAAATCCTTCTTTAACATAAAAAATCCAAACCAAAAACATTAGTAGGGTTCAATGCAACTTAAACTGGTAAATAACACAACCCAAAAAACCTTTTAATTCATATCCACATGCCAACTGGCCAGTCTGGATGATGTGTCTGAATATTTAA